TCCCCCCACAGCAACCCCCACTACCTGCTGAGGACAGCACTGCCCTGCGGGGTAGGGACAAAGCCCCCAGCCCCCTTTTCTGTATCCCTAGAGGGCAGTATAATCCTGGTATGCAGCTCAATAAATAATATCTCTTATTTTCATTCATTCAAACATGATACTCCATTCCCTTTCTGAGCACTTCTGCCCCCTCTTGAGAAGCCAGTTCCCCTTACTTCCCATCCCACCTGGGCCCTTGATTCTCCCATCCTGAGTCCTGTGCCCTCCGGGTGATCCCTAGTGACCTACACACTTGCACGTGAGCTGACAGCAGGCAATGTGCTACCCCTGACCATTGTGCTGAGAGGTTCTGACTCCTGCTCTGGGATGAGATGCCAACCAGGTGACCCTAGGGAGGATGGTTCGCAGTGCTGGCTCCTTCTCATCTTTTAGATCACACTTTGTTACCCACTCAGGGAGGCCTTTCCCAATCAGTGTATCAGAAAAGCTCTTTGCCCCATCATTTTCCATCCCAGCACCCTGTTTCAGTTTCTACACAGCACTCATTACACTGTTCAAAATCATCTTTATTAGGTTGTTTAACCTTTCTTCCCCACCCCCAAGAGTACAAGCTCCAAGAAAGCTGTAATATCTTCTCTAGCCCTTTGCAGGGCCTGGCATGCGGGAGATGCTCCTTCAGAATTTGCTGTGTTAGTGAATGAGTCTCTTTCTATGTGGCGTTGCCTTATCCTGCTTCCGCTGAAAGGCGAACAAAGATGGAGAGGATGGGGAAGTAAGCTACTGGTGGCTGTTTCAGATGTCCTTTAGGGATCTAATGCTCCTTCCCTGGCTCAGGCACAAAAGACTTCTGCCTGGCTGGGGAAGGGGGGTGGACCCTGGGAACTGCCTCTGCTGAACTCTGGAGCTCGGCTTGCCAGCCCTCTCCTCACTCGGCCAGGCTCTTCCAGTTAATCAGCCTGTGCACAGACACAGGAAGAGAGGGCTTTGAGCGAGACGATGACGGCTCCCCAAGCTGAAGACCTCGAGGACACAGTCTTCGCAGGGCCCCCTTTGGCTTCAGGAGCCCCCTGGAGGCAGACTGGGCTGGCTGGGGAGGAATCTGGGGCTGTAGTCTCTCTGCAGGGCGGCAGGGGTCCCCTGGTCTGGGCAAGGCCTCCCCCACCTAGGGGAGCCTCCTGATTTACATGGGGGGCCCGGTTTTCCCCACACAACAAGATGTAAGTCTTCATTGGAGGGATGACAGGTCCTAGGTTGGGACTAGGGACGCGGGGTGGCCCTGGGAGTGCTGCCAGGGAGACGTGTTTCCCACGAGTACAGTCGATAACGAAAGTTAAGTGAGCTTTGGGGATGGCCTTCTGATGGCGGGCCGGCTTTCCACCTAGAAGGAGGGAAAAGACCAAAGATTTGTGTTTGCACTGAAAGGGATATGGTTCCATTAATTCATGTGTTCATTCACTTGTTCATTCATTCAACAGGGATTTTTTTAATTTAACTTTTATTTTATATTGGAGTGTAGTTGATTTACCATGTTGTGTTCATTTCAGGTGTACAGCACAGTGATTCAGCTATACATATACATACATACGTTCTTTTTCGGATTCTTTTCCCATATAGGTTATTACAGAATACTGAGTAGAGTTCCCTTAACAGGGATTTAACTGCGTGTTAGTTGACGCACAAAGATGGGAAGACAGTGGGGCCTAAGAGCGTGGATTTCAGCACTGGGGAGACCTGAGTTTAAACCTGGCTTCCCCCTATCAGCTCTCTGCCTTCCAGGAACATGGAGGCCACTGCATCAGAGCCTCTGAACCCCGCTGTGCCCACGAGCTGCCTGAGCATCTTGTGAACATGCAGATTCTGGTACAGCGAGCGGGTTTGGAGTGGAGCCTGAGGGTCTGCGTTTCTAACAAGCTCCCAGGGAACGCCGGTACTGCTGGTCCACGGGCCACACTGTAGTGAGGAGTAAGAGGAGAGCCCCGGCCACCTTCTACAGGTGAGGAAACTCAGGCTTAGCTTGTACAGATGTTGGTGGTCCTCAGGGAACATCATGCTGTTCTTCCTTCCCCACCCATAATCTTGTCTATCGGTCCCCTCTGCCCTGGGGATCCCTGCTCTGTCCACCCTGCCAAACGGGGAGAAGCCAAGAACCAATCAATCGATTTATCAGTGAAGCAAGTGCCAGAGTAGGTCTCTCTGAACCCAAAGCCTGTGCTCTTAGAAAAGTAACGTTTCAAGTTACCCAAATAATAAACAAATCCATCGTCTTCACTGCGTGCTCTTCACTACGACACAGGCTTCAGAAGGAAGCTTCTGTGCTGGTAGGTTAGTTAACACAGGAAATACAGTCGATTCTTGAACAACATGGGTTTGAACTGCAGGTCCACTTACATGTGGATTTTTTTCAATAAATACCAATTACTACACAATCCGTAGTTGGCTGAATCTGTGGATGTGGAACCTCAGATATGAAGGGCTGGTGGTAGTTATAGGCGGATTTTCTACTGCGTGGAGGGTCAGCGCCCTTAACCCCCAAGTTGTTCAACGTTCAACTGTAAATGAAGACCACCCATGGCTTGAGAATCCTGGCGGCCCCGGAGGGGAGGGTGTCTGCCCTCTGCTGCCAGCACCCCCCAGCGTGCCCAGACCCCCTCAGCTTCAGGGCTGAGGCACCCTCTGCCACCTCTTACCTGAGCTAGTCTCCAGGCCCGTCTCCAGGCCCCTGACTTTGGGGCAGGCTCTCAGGTCTCTGGGGTCTTCTGTTGGGACTGTTACTGATTCCATAGCGCCTGGCTTAGCACTGGCAGAGGGAGCCGTTGTCAGCAGCCTTCTCCAGGATGCAGCTCCCACCCGAGGACCAGACGTTTTATATTTACCAGCTCCGGATCCGCTGAGTGAATTCCACCACGAGCCACAGGAACTGGCTTGGAGCAGTTGGGGGATTGCTTTGATCAACGGGGTTATGTCAACAGGATTGCTGTCGGGTCACTGGGAGGTAGGCCTTCTACCAAACAGATGCTGTTTCCTCCAACTCCAGCTGCTTCCTCACTTGAGACAAGCCTTGGAACCTTCTCATCCAGGCCTCAGTTTCCCAAACCTCAGTCATTCTCTGGCTGCATTCCCAGTTTTTAGTTGTTTTTAGTTTTGTTTCTTTCCTACCTAAGAACTATATGGAATACTACTGACAATATGTCCACGTCTTAGTCGTTTCGAGCAGTAATAGACTAGGGGAGTTAAACCACAAACGTTTGTTTCTCACGGTTCTGGATGCTGGGAAGTCTGAGATCAAGGCACCTACAGATTTTAGTGTTTGGTAAGGACCTGCCCACTGGTTCATAGATGGCTGTCTTTCCACTGTGTCTTCACCTCACAGAAAGTGCAAGAAAGCTCTCTGGGGTCCCTTTTACAAGGGCACTAACCCCATCATGAGGGCTCCACCTTACCTAGGGTCAGTATCCTGTTTTTCTCCATCCTGAATCCCCTCAGGTTGCACCGTTGGGGTGGCTGCATTGGCTGGTGGCTTGATGCTGCAACATCCTTTGTTTACTGTTATGGCAGGTGACGTTCTATGTTCACAAGAGGAAACTTGGTATGGCTTCATTAAACAGAAACAGTAGTACCACTCTAAATAAGTAACTATGTATGGTAGGAGATGGTACCCCAAAGATGTCCACGCCTTAATCCCCAGAACCTGTGAAAAATGTTACCTTACACAGCAAAAGCGTCTTTTGCAGGTGTGGTTAAGGGTATTCCAATTCTGACACCAGTTCTGATGTGTTTTGTTTTGCTTTGTTCCACATTACCAACCAATTAATTCATTTCTGACATTACCTACCTGGAGATGGCTTCATATCTCACAGGCTAAGAGTTCAGTCCTACAAGACTGCCTGTCACAGACATCAATCACAAGTCCTGGTTTGTCACCTGTGCTTCTGACCTACAGATGGGAGGTCCCACAATGCACTCCTTGGATTTGATTAGTTTGCTAGAACAGATCACAGAACTCAGAGAAACATTTTACTTACTAGATTACTAGTTTGTTATAAAAGAATATAACTGGGCTTCCCTGGTGGCGCAGTGGTTGAGAGTCCACCTGCCGATGCAGGGGACATGGGTTCGTGCCCCGGTCCGGGAAGATCCCACATGCCGCGCGGAGTGGCTGGGCCCGTGAGCCATGGCTGCTGAGCCTGCGCGTCCGGAGACTGTGCTCCACAACGGGAGAGGCCACAACAGTGAGAGGCCCACGTACCGCAAAAAAAAAAAAAAGAATATAACTCAGGAACAGCCAGATGGAAGAGATGCACAGGCGAGGTATGTGTGGAGGGCTAGGAGCTTCCACACTGTCTGAGAGCGCCACTTTTCCCCAGTCTCCACATGTTCACCAACCCAGAAGCTCTCCAAACGCTGTTCTTTTGGGTTTTAATGGAAGTTCGTTACATAGGCACGACTGATTAAATCACTGGCCTTTGGTGGCCATCAATCGCCAGCCCCGCTCACATCACAGAGGTCAGTGGGTCGGTGGGACTGACAGTTCCAGCCCTCTAATCACGTGGTTGGTTCTCCTGCCCACATTCTTAGATGACACAGGGGCTTTCCAAAAGTCACCTCATTTACATAACAAAAGACACCCTTTTCACTCTTCTGACTTGGGAAATTTCAAGGCTGTTAGGAGCTCTGTGCCAGGAACCAGAAGACCAAATATATATTTATTTAAATATATATATTTATCAGAGGTGTGGACTTTGAGATAGGGATATTGATCTGGATTAGCTGAGTGAGTTCTATCTAATCACACTAGTCCTTATAATTGGAGACCTTCTCCTGGCTGGGTTAGAAAGAGATGTGACAGGGACTTCCTTGGTGGCTCAGTGGTTAAGAATCCGCCTGCCAACGCAGGGGACACAGGTTCGAGCCCTGGTCTGGGAAGATTCCCATATGCCGCGGAGCAGCTAAATTCGTGCGCCACAGCTACTGAGCCTGCCCACTAGAGCCTACGAGCCACAACTACTGAGCCTGCACACCACAACTGCTGAAGCCTGCGCGCCTAGAACCCATGCTCTGCAACAAAAGAAGCCACCGCAATGAGAAGCCTGCACACTGCAATGAAGATTAGCCCCCGCTCGCCGCAACTAGAGAAAGCCCACGCATAGCAATGAAGACCGGACACTGCCAAAATTAATTAATTAATTAATTTTAAAAAAGAAAAAGATGTGACAATGGAGCAAGACCAGAGACCTATGAAGTGAGGGAGACTCAATCTGCCATTGCTGGTGTTAAAAGACAAACTGGTGGTCCAGTGGTTAAGAATCTGCCCAATGCAGGGGACGTGGGTTCAATCCCTGGTCCAGGAACTAAGATCCCCCATGCTGTGGGGCAACTAAGCCCACGCGCCGCAACTACTGAGCCTGCACTCTCCGGAGCCCACGCACCACAGCTAGAGAGAGGCCAATGCAGCCAAATAAATAATTTAATTAATTAAAAAAAGACAAAATGGGACACAGTAAACATTTTGAGTTTATTTGAATAAAAATGGACTTGAATCAGGTAGCATCCAATCTAGAAGATAGAAAGGAACCCTGAGGAGCTGTACAAAATGAAAGACTTATGGGCAGAAAGGAGCAGGAATAGGAAGCTATACTAGGCAAAAAAGCAGGTTGGTTATCACAAGGTTACTTTCCTTTTTGGGAGGGCAGGGGTCTATCAGGCACCTAGCTAGTGCCAATCAGGTGTTTCCTGATTAAATGGTTTAAGATTCCATTTCTGGGAGAGCCAAAACTGTAATTAAGTTAAATCTTCGTTTGGTGATGTGAGGCTTAGCATAAGCAACTCCATTTCAGGCTTGTTGTCTTGCTTTGTTTTGTTTTTGTTTGTTTTTATTGGAGTGTAGTTGATTTACAATGTTGTGTTAGTTTCAGGTGTGCAGCAGAGTGATTCAGTTACACACACATAATATATATATTTCCTGATTCTTTTCCATTATAGGTTATTTTAAGATATTGAATATAGTTCCCTGTGCTATACAGTAAATCCTTGATGTTTATATATATTTATGTATATATATATAGTTTACATATAGTGGTTTGTATCTGTTAATCCCATACTCCTAATTTATCCCTTCCTCTCTCTCTTTCCCCTTTGGTAACCATAAGTTTGTTTTCTATGTCTGTGAGTCTGTTTCTGTTTTGTAAATAAGTTCATTTGTATTATTTTATTTTATTTTGTATTATTATTTATAAACCAATTTTTTATTGAAGTATAGTTAATTTACAGTGTTGTTGTTTTACGATCTGTTGTCTTGTTTTTAACACTGGCTTCGAAGAGGTGGAGGGAGGCCATGAGCCAAGGAACGTAGGCAGCTTCTATGACCTGGCAAAGGCAAGGAAAGGGATTTTCCCCTAAAACCTCTGTAGAGGAACCATCCTGCCAACATCTTGATTTTAGCCCACGTTGGACTTCTGATCAACTGATGATAAATTTATGTTGCTTTAAGCCACAAGACTGGTAATTTGTTACAGCAGCAGTAGAAAACCAATATGCTATATAAATATCAAAGAAAATTTAAAATTCCATGCACCCCAATGTTCATAGCAGCATTCTTTACAATAGCCAAGACATTGAAGCAACCTAAATGTCCATCAAGAGATGAATGGATAGGGCTTCCCTGGCGGCACAGTGGTTGAGAGTCTGCCTGCTGACGCAGGGGACACGGGTTTGTGCCCGGGTCCAGGAAGATCCCACATGCCACAGAGCGGCTGGGCCCGTGAGCCATGACCGCTGAGCCTGCGCGTCCGGAGCCTGTGCTCCGCAACGGGAGAGGCCACAACAGTGAGAGGCCCGCGTACCGCAAAAAAAAGTTAAAGATAGAGTTACCCTAAGACCCAGCAATTTCACTCTTATGTATACACCCAAGAGTGCAGACATGTGTCCACCCAAAACTTGTACACAAATGTTCATAGCATCGTCATTCACAATAGCAAAAGTGAAAATGATGCAAATGTCCATCAACTGATAAATGGACAAACCAAATGTGGTATATTTATACAGTGGAGTATTATTTGACCATAAAAAAAGACTGAAGTACCGATAGATGTTATAATGTGGATGAAGCTTAAAATCTAAGTGAAAGAAGCCAGTTGTTAAAGACCACATGTTGTATGATTCCATTTTAAAAATGTCCAGAATAGGCAAAGCTGTAAAAACCAAAAGTAGATTAGTGGTTGTCAGGCGCTGGGGAGAAGGGAGGAATAGGGAGTGACTGCAAGTAAGTATGGGGTTTCTTTGGGGAGTGATGAAAATATTCTGAAATTAGCAGTGTTGGTTGCACAACTGTGAATATACTAATAACCACTGAATTGTATACTTTAAAAGGGGGGAAAAGGGGGAGGAATTGTATGGTATGTGAATTATATCTCAAGAAAGCTGTTATTTTTTTTAAATGAGCTCTATCCAGTCTACCCTGAATTAACTATTTTTTTCTAGGTAACCAAATGGCCCTAGTTGATGAGGGAAAGTTCTTGTTTATAGAAGAATTCCACCTAATAAATGCGGAAAGAATGATAGGATCAGAAATGCATCATTTTACAACCTCTAATGAAATTATTGACTCAGACAAGCATCGTCAAAGGAAGAAACTATTACATGGAAGATTGATGAGGAACTTTCTGAAGAGGGAATCAGGCTGCTGCCACCCAAACCCACCAGCCATCTTATCAATTTTTTAAAAAAGAAAGGAAAGAGGGCTTCCCTGGTGGCGTAGTGGTTGAGAATCTGCCTGCCAATGCAGGGGACACAGGTTCGGGCCCTGGTCGGGGAAGATCCCCATGCTGC